GCACAGGAGAGGAGAGAAGGAGTGTTTTTTAAGCAGAGAGTGAGACCTTCACATCTCTGGCAGGAAGTGTCCCATTTTCAAAGGTCATCCTTCGCAGCCCGACAAGAAATGTCATCTGAAATTGGATGGGCGTGGGGCTAAATGAATTAATAAATATATAAACAAATCAACAAATAAGCCATCAAAGCTGACGGAATTCCAAAAGACAGGGGTTGAGGAGGGCCAAGTGCTGTGAGGAGGAAGGCCAACGGATATTAAATTAAAAAAAAAATAGCAGCTTTGAAAATTCATCTCACTCTGTGAGTGAGGTGGCTCGATGCCGGGCTGAAAAACCCAGCCCCACCACTGGCACACACTGGTGCTGTGTCTGTGTCTGTGTCTGTGTCTGTGTCTGTTCTGGTATGCTCCACTTAAACACACAATTACATGCCTCGGACCAAACTGTGAATTACACAGAGCCAAACCCCCCACAAAAAAAAACAACATGTTTTTGTTAAGCAGCCATATAAAAAAAAATCTCTGCTCCACAGATGGTGCTCATTTAAATGGCGAATTATAATTATGTCTCTCACATGAAATTTTCATCAGGTTAGGTATAAAAAAAAAAAAGAAAAAAACAGTGTTACACTGACGGATGTTTCTCGGTGTTAATATTGATGACAGCACTGGCTCCTGTGCCACGGGGCACTGAAGTGAATGCTAAATCGAACCTGAGTATTTGCTCCTCTGCAGAGGATGTGCAACTCTGTCTCCCTGCGTCTTTAATAATTCTGTTTGGCACAGATGCCACCGGGAGGACTGGGCTACTCCAGAGAGTTGGCTAATTAGTGCAGCATCACTGCTAGCTAGTGCCTGAGAGCGGAGGAGCTCTGCAGACTCACATCAGGACGGCGTGGAGCAGAACCAGACAGCCACCGAGCAAGATGTCGTAACCCATCAGCAGCAGGGACGATGTGAAGTCTAGCCTTCATCGTTCACGCTGAGGAGAAGCCATTTATACCCGGCGTTGATTGCCTCGTTCCTTGTACGTTTCATTGCTGAGAAACACATTTCACACTCTTTAAACTGTTTCTATAGGCACCCGGTAATGTTGTTAAAAAAAGAAAAACACACAGAACACCCGTATGAGAAGAATGACTACTGTTAAAATATTGCAAATGTCAATTTTTTTCCCTTTTTCCCACTAAAACCGCCATCATTTTACATCATTTTATTTCATTTGATTCTATTCAGTTAGCATTGGTAGTTGGAGGTTGGAGTTCATGTCAGATATTGTGTCAGTCTTGATGTCACATATGACCATAAATGACAATTAATTTTTTTTACTTATTTAAGTTTTAATTTTATGTAATTAAGGTCTTTCGGACTGAAATGTCAAAAAGGAGAAATTCTTTTTTCTAACGATTTGGACTGAATGTGAAAACAGACTGATTTTTCCTCTTGGTCTCTTGAGATTTATTAAAAAGAATAAATTGTTTATTTTACAAAAACATGTCAATTTTATATATTTATATTCATACATATTATCTGACAGTATTCAGAAAGACAAAAAAAAGAAAGAAAAAGAAATACCACGATGTATTTCACGTTCACAGAACTTGGTCTTGGTATTTTCTGATTTTCAGCACTAAAAGCACAAACTTTGGTGGGTACTGCACTCCTACTTTATCGCTCTACAGTTTGTAATTTTACGGTCATAATATATGTTTGCCTGCAAGGTTATTGCCCTCATTCCTCATTTCACACCTCTCTCTAATTTGTAACGGGGCAGTAATGCCAATGGGGCAGGAGTGGAGGCTCGGAGGAGACATCTGTCTGTTTTTAACTCTTTTATTAAAACATTTCTTGGATGATGGACTGAAATCTCAGGGACTATTTCGTACCATGAACATATTTCATACATTTTTAAAGTTCCAAAAGCTCCACTGTGGTGAGAGGCAAACGGCCAACGTAGATTAGTCAGCACTCTGCTCTGTGGTACCTCAGCCAAGTAGCCTCTGCCAGCAAACTTTATTTACCCCTGGACTTTTCTTTTTTTTTTCTGCATCGTCATTTTAAGAGCTGGGGCACTACGTTATCTCTTTTTCATTGAAAAGTTTAATATTTTATCCTGTTCTTTCTTCACTTTAATGAAGGATTTCATTCAGAGTTACTCTAAGGTAGTTATGCTAATTAGCACACTGCTAATGGCTTATTTAGCATTTTGCTAGAATGTTTTTTCATTGTTTTC